ATGTTATTCAAATTCACAGTCATTATTATAAGAGCCTTCGATAATCTCAATAACATCAACAGTGGTTTTTGAAATACATCTCTCAACATAGCTAATTTCCCCTAAAAAATATTATTAAAATCAACTTCAAAAAGAAGAATCGAATATATTTTTTGGATACCATTCAATTATTTATCCAAATAACACAATGAAGTCACCACTCTGATTTGCGATTTTGAAGGATTTATATAGTATTCTTTAAAATACCAAACAAATTAAATTGAGTAAAATCTATTAAATTATCATTTTTAAGATTTTGCTTTCTGTGTTTTCCTTAAAAACATAATATATATCGTTTTTAAATATTTAATAAAATAATTAGTAAACTTATTCACAAATAATCTAATATTTTCATATAAATATCATGATTCTTAATCTCAAAAAATAGAATAATTTTTTAAAAAAAATTCATACATAACACATTATTTTCACAAAAATCTAGAATTATATTTGAATATAGATTTAAGTAGTTTTAAACACAAGTTATCAAAGATATTTATAACGAATTTCTTAAAGAATTGAAAAGCAAAATATTAATACAAAAAACATAATTTAACATTTACTTTTAATTTCTAGAATGTATTTAAGATACTAATACTTCAGAAAACTATATTTATTTAAAAGTGATTTTACAATACTATGATTTGATATCGGGGAAGTATTAGATTTCCAAAATTTTCCAAGAAACTAGAGCCTAAATAAGTGGAGAAATCAAATCATAACAAGCCTTATTAAATGCTAGAAAGAGGAGGAATTAAGCAAGAGGAATTCTTAAATTTTTTTAACTAATATTATATTTATGATATATAATTTTATTATTTGATATAAATACTTATATAATTATGTAAAATTGAGTTTGAAATGAAAAAAATTTATTGGATTCTTTGGTTATTCTTAAGTTTCACTTCAAGAGGATAATTAACAGTAGATCACAATTTTCAAATAATTTGAAAGTTAAAGCTCAATTTTGATGTCGCTTCTTTAATTGATAAATACTAATCATATTTGTTATTGAAAATATATGACCATTTAATTCATAATAATATCAACATAGTTTCATATATTTGTTTAGAGTTTATAATATAGTCCAAAACAATTTCAAAGAGTATTTTGCACAATTTTGATTTTCTTTAATTTTCTGTTAGATTAATTGTAAAAGTATTGATTATTATTATTATTATTATTTCAAGTAACAATAATTGTTCTGTTTATCTTACATTGCGGCAAAAACACTATGAAATTCTCAAATCGTACTAATAAAAAGATAATATATAAAAACATTTGATACTTATTTAATTATAACTTTGCTATTTTTTTTTCAATATCAGTATATTAAGAAATCTTCAAGAAATATTTTTAGGAACCTTCCTATTTAATTGAAAAACTGAAGATTAGATTTAATATTAATTAACTTTATTAATCTTCTAGTTAAAAATCCTAAACCACATTGCGAATGATGTTGTAAAGAAATTCTGATTGTTTTACAAAAAGTATAATTAAAAGGCTAGTTTGGTCTATCATATACAACAAGTCTACAAATAGTTGTGAATATTGAACTTTAACAATTAACACAGTTAATAATTTATGATCCTTTTTTCCTCTTATATTGTTAAGGTAAAATAAATTTAGAGTTAGACAGAAATACTCTTAGTAAAGATTGCACAGCAATTGGCAGCTTACAAATATAATTTGGCTGAAAACTCTCTATTTTCAACACATTCTTCTCAAGGATAAAATGTCTTTTTTCACAAATAATCATAATGCCTCTTACACATATTTTTTTGAAATCAAATTCAATGTTTGCTTACTCTTACTCTTATCATTAGTATGAATTATTTGATTCTTAATATGTCTATTACATTTTTGGAAACAACTATTCTTAATTCTTGTTCTTTATCGTTCTCAAATAATTATATATTGTGGCTTATGATTTGGTTCTTTAATATTCGATCCTATTCATTAATTCGTACACAATTAATTGTATTCCTTCTATACCATCTGACACAATGAATACGAAAAAAAAATTCCAAATTACTCCATTTCTTCCCCTTCTTTATGTAAATTCAAATAATTAGGCTTACTCTAAATATCAACTAATAATTCACAGTTATCAACATAATTCTAATAATTCTCTTACTCTTTATTTTTTTCGCTCTTAGAAAATCTACGCAATTAGTTGTAGATCATTCATAACTTATTACCAAATATTTGGCCTTCTCAAAATCTAAAAATTAGTTGTGATCCATACCTCATAATTTTGTGTGATCGTTTGGCTGTTTACAGTGATACCACCTTATTTTCATAATATTCCTTTGTTAATCTGGTATCCTCAAATTGCCTTGAGTCCATTTAGGAATACTCTAATTTTTACAAGTAACAAATTTCAATTTGTAATGTCACAATGAATTCTCTAAAATTTGATAATAGATTTACTTTTGGTTATTAAAACATAGCTTCTGATGATAAATCTATTATGATATACAAAAAGAATAATGATTAAGATTTTTAATAATAATCATTCGATTTATAAGAATTCTCTTTAGTTCATTAAATGATATTAAAACTAAATCATACTCCTAAATACAGATAGTATTGAAGACTTTAAAGCTTGAGAAGTTAGGTCCGATCACCTGATATAAAATATCTATTTGATTTTCATAGAATCTATATATAGATGCAATCAGATATATCAATTTCACTGCTATAAACATATAAGAAATTTCTTGTTGTTTTAATTTTTTTATATTTTTGGAAGTTGGAAAGTTGAAAATTTTTAGGTCTGAATTTGTGAATTGAAATTTGGTCCGTTGTTTTTCATCAATTGTAAAGTATATGCAACATTTTCCTCTTCATACACGAATTAACTTAAATCTGTACTAGAGCATAACTTAATAAATCAATGAAACTCCATCTCTTTTACCATCACCAGTATAATAAAATTAAAATTCTTCATCTTTTGAGAAAACTATATAAGAGGTTGTTGATACAATTTTGTGCTTCAATACTTTTTCTGATTTAATATATTTAACTTTAGAAATTGTGATCTAAAATACCCGTTGCTTGAATGCACAATTTATTACAATTATTTTTTTTCATACATATACTTCCAAATGCCTTGCTTGAGGTCATTGATATATTCTCCAAATTCCTTGACTTTTGCAAAACTAATAATAATAAGATATTCTTACTCATAGAAATGGTTTATCGTTTCTTCCCATAAGCCTTACTTTTTCCCCTCTAAAGAGTACAATTATTAAATTTTTTTCATTTTATATTTTGCTATAATGACCGCAAACGCCATTCAAAATTTCTCCCTTCCAAGAGGCTGTCCATAATCCAACTTTATTTGCATTTTTTTCTAATTTACCCATCCATTTAAGATGTTTTACTACTTCTAAATTTGTAATTATTTAAGGTCTGGTTTCTGAATCATTATGTTCAATCCTTTAGAATTATTAGAAATATTACGTTTAAATGATTTCTCCATTATATATATAATGAAGCTCTTGGCCTTTGTTTTATCGAAAATGAAAATAGATTTATTTTAGTTTACTTCCAAGCAATTTCCAACCTCTATATTCTTAGTTTAGGTCTATAAAATTCATTATTATTATAAAAATAACTTCTTTTTTATTTTATCAGCAGAAATATTTATCAGGATTGTATCTTAAAGGGATTAAATTCATTCATAATTGCCTTTAAAATTAAAATATTCAATACATATATTATGTGTTCTTTATATGACATCAACAATTCAATGTTATGTTCAGATCAATTTGAAAAATATTGTATCATTATAGATGTTTGTAAAAGTTTCAATTTGACTCCTCGAAATAAACAAAACATATTAGACTATTCTCATTTATTAATAAAACAGAAAATTTAGTTGAGGTGCTCATCATCCTAAAAGATTTCTTAAAATCTTTCTTATTCCTATTTTTGATTATATTATCCATCTCCACTAAATTTATCACAAAGAATATTAGATATCTAAGAAGGAAAATTTTGGATCAAAAAAAGTTTCCGTCTTATAACCTTTACCAACAACTAAAATCTTTTTCATTTTCTATCATTTTATGGTTTATACATTTAATTAGAATTTTTTAGTTTATTGCTATTCAGAACAGTTTTGAATAAAAAATTCAATAATTATTGTAGAACTATTATTTGTTAATGATCATTTTGTATCAATTATTCATATACAATCTTTGAGTCCATCCATGCTGACTAAATCTCCACTTTAATTAATTTAATAGTTTTATATTATTGTAAAACAATTTAGTTTCTCTTCTCATTTATTTTTCCTCCTTATTTAAGCATCGAATTGAAGCATACTTAAATTTACCTCCTTTCCTTTCATTTTTTAAAAAATTCTTATGAGATCAAGGATAATATTTAAATTTTTATCGGATATAGATTATCATATATTATTTTGTTTCCTCTAATTGAATATCCATAATAAATTAACACTAAAAATGCTTGTAGATTCAGTCATTATAAATTGGAAACATTTTGATGTAAAAGTATTGAAATTGAGCATCATATATTATTTTTAAATAAATTTTTTTTCTCTATGCTGATGTTGACAAAAAGAAACCCCATGCATTTGCACAACAGGCAACTCATATGATTACACTTTCTTTTTAGGTAATTATCCTATCATCAATATTAATCTTTGATGAGGGGATTGAATAGGCTAATATCTATTTTCTGATTTAGATTCTTAATTATCGACTACAATATTTAGGGCACTTAATCAGAAATATCTCATCTTATTTCAATCCGTGTTACTGTAGCATCTATTAATTGTTCCTGTTCTTACTACTCATTAAGATTAATCATTTCAATTACTATATTTTTTGCTAGATGGCTACTTACGAATAGTATATTGCACATCTAAAGAATTACAGTCTCCCTAAGAGTAGTCAATAATAAAATTAAGATCCTTTGTAGTATGAATTCACTTTTTTCTATATAAATTTATGAGCCTTCGCTGGATTCTACAAGCTGAGGAAACCAAAAACGAATGTGTGATTTTATTAATGATGACAAAATGAATGATTCTAATTTTGGAAAACTATATAAAATTGTATTTTCATTAATTAAACTAAAGTATATTGATAAATGTTAGTATTTTAACTTAGATTTCAATTCTAAACCAAATTTGTTTAAATTCTATCTAAATTCTTTTTTAAAGTCCAAGTTATAATGGATATAAAATATTAGGAAGCAATATTAAATGAAGTTTTTTAATTCTATTAATTAGGTCAAATAATCTTAGCTCTGTTAAAAACACCATAAAGCAATTAAGTTTGAGTGGGGTCAATAATAAAACAGATCATCATCTTTTATCATAAATTCATTCATTATTTCAAATTATTAGAAATAATTTCAAATTTACATCAAAAATATGAAAATTCTATAGAGAATTAGGAATTCTAATTTTCATTTTCAAGAGGCAAGATTTAAACCTACAGTATTCTTATATGGTTGAATAAATTCAATAAGTATCTAGAATAACTTAGATAGAAATTATAATCATATTTCTGCTGCTATTTTTCTAAGATTTGATTCCATAGCTTTTGAATTTTTTTATCCTTGCATTATCAATGCTCTACTTTTTCTTTTATAATTATGATAGCTTAGAAAGGAATTTATTATTCTGCTTTAATGTTATCTAACATTATCATTCATACAAGAGTAAATAATATTATTTACTTGCGATGATTTTCTTCTTATGATCTATTTTTTGATTAATCATTAAAAAAATAAATTTTAGTTAATTTTATCTCCTTAATTTGTCTTTTTGTTAATATTTATTACTAATTATAGTGCCAGTTATATTCTAAAAGTAACAATAATCAGTTCCATTTTTTTGTTTTACATTTTTTCCATTGTCGAATTTATTATAATTGGTGTAAGCCTTAAATTTCCATCTCTTAAATGTAATAATCATTAATCTGAAATATTAAATTTAGCCTTCTGTTTTCAAGTCGGTTTTTTTTTCTTCTTCTTAATTCTGATTTTTAATTGTATTAAACTTTCATTCCAAAATATTCCTCTAAATCTAATAAGTCAATTAAATATCTTTAAGACATTAGAATCTCATGAAATCTGATACATTTGTATTTCTTTGCTTATTTCAGTCGGTATAATCTCGAATTATTAACTTTAATATACATTTTATTAAAACCCAAAGATTTTTGAGCTTGTTTAAGGATCTCTATTAGNTTTGTAGTATGAATTCACTTTTTTCTATATAAATTTATGAGCCTTCGCTGGATTCTACAAGCTGAGGAAACCAAAAACGAATGTGTGATTTTATTAATGATGACAAAATGAATGATTCTAATTTTGGAAAACTATATAAAATTGTATTTTCATTAATTAAACTAAAGTATATTGATAAATGTTAGTATTTTAACTTAGATTTCAATTCTAAACCAAATTTGTTTAAATTCTATCTAAATTCTTTTTTAAAGTCCAAGTTATAATGGATATAAAATATTAGGAAGCAATATTAAATGAAGTTTTTTAATTCTATTAATTAGGTCAAATAATCTTAGCTCTGTTAAAAACACCATAAAGCAATTAAGTTTGAGTGGGGTCAATAATAAAACAGATCATCATCTTTTATCATAAATTCATTCATTATTTCAAATTATTAGAAATAATTTCAAATTTACATCAAAAATATGAAAATTCTATAGAGAATTAGGAATTCTAATTTTCATTTTCAAGAGGCAAGATTTAAACCTACAGTATTCTTATATGGTTGAATAAATTCAATAAGTATCTAGAATAACTTAGATAGAAATTATAATCATATTTCTGCTGCTATTTTTCTAAGATTTGATTCCATAGCTTTTGAATTTTTTTATCCTTGCATTATCAATGCTCTACTTTTTCTTTTATAATTATGATAGCTTAGAAAGGAATTTATTATTCTGCTTTAATGTTATCTAACATTATCATTCATACAAGAGTAAATAATATTATTTACTTGCGATGATTTTCTTCTTATGATCTATTTTTTGATTAATCATTAAAAAAATAAATTTTAGTTAATTTTATCTCCTTAATTTGTCTTTTTGTTAATATTTATTACTAATTATAGTGCCAGTTATATTCTAAAAGTAACAATAATCAGTTCCATTTTTTTGTTTTACATTTTTTCCATTGTCGAATTTATTATAATTGGTGTAAGCCTTAAATTTCCATCTCTTAAATGTAATAATCATTAATCTGAAATATTAAATTTAGCCTTCTGTTTTCAAGTCGGTTTTTTTTTCTTCTTCTTAATTCTGATTTTTAATTGTATTAAACTTTCATTCCAAAATATTCCTCTAAATCTAATAAGTCAATTAAATATCTTTAAGACATTAGAATCTCATGAAATCTGATACATTTGTATTTCTTTGCTTATTTCAGTCGGTATAATCTCGAATTATTAACTTTAATATACATTTTATTAAAACCCAAAGATTTTTGAGCTTGTTTAAGGATCTCTATTAGTGAAAGCTTATCTGTTATATTTCTTCTCTAGAGTTGTTAAAAAATTTTAAGACTGATTATATTGCATTTTATTGCACATAAAGAAAATCCATAATAAAAATCTTATATACCTATATAGCTCTTTTGCATAAAAAATATTATATGATTGATAATGAAATAGACATGATAAGAAGTTTTAAACTAATTTCTAAAATTGGTAGAATCGATAAATTTAATTTTATTCTAAAAAAAGAGTTAATTAATATTATTACTGCTCTTCCATTTACACATCTAAACGAAAAACTCGATATATATCATTATCAAAGTTGGAGTTATCGAAATAATTGTTAAAGGTATAGTAGAGTAATAACAATTATTATTGCTTTTTAAAATCTCCTTATAATATATAAGTAGTTTATAGTCTAGTTGATTGATATCTTGTCACTGATAAGGAGATTATATATTCTGAGGCTGAATTATTTTATCAAACAAGAGGATTGATATTAAATAAATCATGAAGATGATTATTATTTAATAACATGCAAAATGTATTACAAATCAACTCGAGTTCACGATGATCATCCAGAATAACACTATTAAAAATATTCTCATACCAGATGTTATAATTCCTCCAGGATCAAGCGTCAAAGTTAAATTTCATTATTTATTTTGGAGTTTTAATTATTATTAAAGGAAGAATGGAAAACGTTAAGTATATATCAGAAGGTTTCTATCCGTAGTTTTTCTAATTGCAATTAAATTTTTTCAATTAGCAATACTTCTTAAAAAGTAAAATAACAACGAAAGAAAAGATTTATATAAATATTATGACTTTCATAGCCAACTTGATGATTTTATAACTGATTATACTTTATGTAAGGAGCTTGGTATGACAGATATAAAATTTAATAGTATATATCACAAACTTCAAAAGAGGATTAATTTTTAAAATTTGAAAATCTCATCGAGCGCTGAAAGGAGCTCGCTTAGTGTTTTAGAGTTCATATTCCAAAAACCTACAAGGATATTTCAGCTGAATACTTTCTTTTCCCTATGATTTGGGTTGAATATTTTTAAATTTCTTCATCTGCAAGTAAGTTAAATTTACTCCCAACTGTGTAAGAAGATAAACATGTCTCACCACTTTACGGATAGGAAATACAGATTAAACTCGGCCACTAGGAGAGAACAGGAAGACTTTCCTGATGTGACGTTCATCCAATATTAATGACGCAAGAGATGGCATTAGGAAGCGAGGGGAAAAATTGTAAGGATTCTGGTAGTTAACCCCGTAAAATCCTGCGGAAGCGGATATCGAAGTATGTGCTGTGAGGGAAAACAGAAGAACGAAGGATAATTGGGTAAATTTTTTGGATTTCAATAGTTAAATTGAGTTCTAATGAAATCAGGCAACATTATAAAAGAACGTAACACACGTGGTGCATTGATATGGATGTAGCTGTGATGTCAGGTGCAGGAAGCGTTCTAACCTTGAAGCTACACAAAGGTTGCTGAAGGAAATAGGTTAAATTTGGTTTAAGCACTGAAATATAACTCTGTTTAAATATTTTATTTAAGTTTTCATACTATAAATCAGCTGTAGAGATTATATTTGATTATTATTTAAGATTTCAATCTTGGTAGAAATTTAACTGAATCTTATAAATTCATTTAGTAAAGCATACCTTCATTAAATTACAATTCACAAATAAAATCATATGCACGACAATCCTTATAAATTAAATCATTGTTCTTAGGATGAAATTAGTCTGTTATGAAAATAAAAGGAGAATACCTATTATCATTTGATATAGGAATTGTTTAATTCTGAAAAAATGTTAATAATGATTTAATTCTGTAGTCTTACACAAAAATTTGTCATTACGAGCTATAGAATAATCTCTATTACATTCCTAACTACAACCTATAAAAGTTTCAGAAAATTATTATTCAGAAATGCATTAGCATTGCCCACCTGATACAACCTATCCATCGAAACACGTTAAGCAATTTGTTTTTAAAGGACCGTTACATTTTAAGCATGTTGGATGACAAGGATTGACATAAATTAATACGTTTCTAATTCCAATTTCTGAAAATAATGAATAAGTACTGAAACAAAAATTTATTAGAAACTAATTTTCAGTGTTGAGATCATAAATTGTATTTGTTATTGTAAGTAATTGAAAATAAGTAAAGAAATTATTGCAAACGTTTTGACTATTTTGAGATAAATAGTATGCCAATAATTTCTCCCATAAATTATTCAGCTATCACTTGGAGTTTAAGACTTAACCAGTAAATGGGAGGCTACGTTATCTATTTCAAAAAAAAAACAATAAATACTACTTAATCTGAAAAGCTCTATAATTAAATGTCTTTTCCATGTATTAGTTATATCTTATTAAAGAGGCATAAGTTTGTGAATTTTGAGGACAACTTTTTCTATTGAATGAGATTGGCAAATAACTGGGGCATGATCCAAACATCTTCCAGTTATTGTCATCAATAAAAGTATCTTTGAAACTGTGATCTATTAATCTCCAGTTTGCAGTGACATGGAAACTAAAGATAAGAAATAAAATGAAGTCCTTTAAAAAAAGGATCATATTTTTAATATATATTATTTAAAAATAAACAACATTTTTCAATATTTAAATACATTTACCTCATTATTGTGTATTTACAATAAAATCGTCAAGAAAGATTTGCAATTCATAATAATTTTTTTAATATTTTGGAGTAATATCCATGTAGATTGCATCTCAAAAATCCAAATCTTATTGGTTTCCATATGGTGCATTTATATGTCTATTAAAATCAATTATCAATATTTCTTTTGAATGTGATTACTATTAGAAAATAGGCATACTTTATACATCTTTTTCCAATTTCAAGTGTTTTTATAATAAATAATTAAAAATTTAAAAATAAATATATATGCTGAGGCAAACTCATTGTTAATAATCAAAATTGTAGATTAAATTTTATATCAAATTGTGGTTTTTTATAAATGAAGATTTCTTAAGTTGTCCAAATTTGATAATTGTAAAAGAGGGGAAGTTTGGAAAAAAATTTAATTTAATCTTCTGTTTAGTTGTTTAATAAATTGTATCATCTATTAATAATCTTTATCGTAGTTTTGTGAGAAATAACCCCAAAATATTATTCTATGTAATTTCAGAAATAATTAAATTGACACTCCAATAAATTATTTTGTCAAAATTTTTCACAATCATCACTCCATAAAATGATAATTCAACTATCCTACCAAAATTTCTAAAAAATCTATCATCAGGATCTTTCATTTGTTCCTCACAATTTATTATTACAACTATTATAAAAAGCCATTTAACCATTTCTAATTAAAAAAAATTTTCATTTAATTTCCATGCGTCACATTAAGCTAATTTTTTTTGATTATATTCCAGGAATCAACTTTTAATTTAGTTTCCGCATTGGAGGAATTAATATTGTTTGAGAAGCAATTTAGGCCATTACAATATATTTTTATATAAAATAATTACCATCCTTGATTTCATAATTTTTGGATTTCAAAGTTTTTTGAATAAAAATAATAGAAGAAACAAGCCAAAGAGAATATATGGTGACATTTATTTCAATTCTCCCATTTTAAATGGTTATTGATGTTTCGAATATTACTATTATTAATTCAATTTCATATTATATCCTAGCTACAAGCTAAAAGTATGGTTTTATTGTATTAACTACTAAATGAATTAATTATAATTCCAAATATTGAGTTTGCTGTTTTTTGAAATACAATTGTAAATTAAAATATGAAAGGTCATCTTGAGCCATTTATTGATTGTAAAAATGCAGATCTCATTAAAGTGAAAATATTTCGAAATATGCTTGGATTAAAGATGTTTGATAAAAACAAAAAAATAGTGTTATGATTGACAATAGGTAGAAATAAATACACAAAAGCTCATTATTATTTTAAAAAGAATTAGCGTGATTAGATTGATAATTAGATGTAACAACACGAAATGAAAAACTTATTTAACTTCTTTTATAACAATAATTATATTTTTAGAACAAAATTATTCTATACAAAAAGAATCTATATATTAATTTCAAATAAAATACTTAATCGTAATAGCTTGCTTAACCTAATTAACAAATAATTAATCTTTTCATTTAGATTTAAAACTCATTATTTAACAAAACATAAAATATGGTTCATAATTATATGTTTATGGAATTATTACCTCGATTTTACTTCTTTATTTTATTAACTATAAATGTGAAATAATCTCATAAATTCATTCTCTTCTTATTTTAAAAATAATGCATCATATCAAGTTTATAATCTATTCATAAATAATGTAATATAAATAGGATTGCAATTAAATTTTAAAAGAATACCATCATCGTTTTATAAAATTTAATCTCAAAAAATAAATAAAATCTAAATGCTATTACAACAGTTAGGTTATTCTAATTTCAATGTATGCTTTCAGATGGTGCTAAATTCTGAATACCATTAAATTCTTAAGTGATTAATTATACTAAATTAACAAGAAATTAATGTTTAATTTATAAAATTAGAAATGCCAATATTTTTTGAGCAGAAGTTAGAATTTACCAATAATAGGCAAGAAGCTAATGTTGTACCTTTAGGTTTACTTTTGGTTCAATAAAGTTGTTTTAATTCCTATTGTTCAGAAGAGTATTGAAATATTAACAGAAGTCATGATCTCCATATTTTAAGCAGATTAAACAAGTTTCCTGGTGAATTTTGTTGAATTAAATAGGCAAATATTACTTAACTGCAATACACAATTAGATTTGGTAGCATAACGTTTGTTGAAAATAGTGAAGTACAAACACATTAGATTAGAATCAAAAGTTCAAATAAGGCAATTAATTAGATCTGTAACTAAATTGGACAAAACCTCGATAAAACTTGGGAAATTAATGTTGTCAAAAACTAAACTTTATTCAAGAATCCAAATGCTTAGATGAGTTAATTATTGCTTTTGCTTTCAATCTGCATTTTGATTATCAAATGTCTATAACTATCATATTCTCTCATAAATTTCTAAGTGCCATACGGAAATAATGTTTGGAACAATTTCAAGATTATTTTGGCTTCACAAAATTACGAAATCTTTTTCTGCTTCAACGGCTTTGAAAATTCCTCAACATTCATATTGGTTTGAAAATGACAGATTATTTCACTTTTTTTCCCTTTTTCTGTTAATTGTTGATATTTCAAATAATATATTATGTCATTCTAATTCTTTGCTCTCTCTCTATTTCAATTTACTGAATAGAACTTAGTGATATCTTAATATCAAATCATGTGACTTCTTATTAGGTTAATATTAATTCATAACAAATGATTATTATTAAATAATTCAAGATATAGTCAATAGCATCATTAAGAATTTATTTTAGTATTTTTTGACTTAAAAGTTACTATTAAAAATTTAATCTTAGATTAGGGTAGACAAAAAAGAACAAAAATTATGATTGAAGAGAGCCAAAATGCACTGGTGAGACATATTTCTAGGAGAAGGATGCCTAATTATTAGCTTATAGCCAGAATATCCACAACAAAAGGATCTTTACATTAAGGAAATGATCGAGATGAAAAGAAATATTTGAATGTTAGAAGAACGAAACGAAAAAAGGAAGAAGTATGGAGAATGGATAGCTAACATTATTAGTAAAGGAAGTTTAGATTTGGAATTTTTAAATTTATGATAGAGAACTTGCATTATTCATAGTATTAAAATGGGGGAACCAATGAAACTTTTAGTGTTGGATTCAATAATAATTAAGGACCACTTTTATGAATAGCATAAGAAACTTAATAATGTAGATTGAAAGGGAAATTCTACATCTGGTGATGACCTTGGTTAAGTAATTAGTGGAGGTAATTGAGAAGAGTGAAAATTATGAAATAAAGTTATATTAAGAATAGAATGAAGAATTCCATAAAAAAATACAAGAAATAGAAACAAACTCAAAAAGAAAATATCATAAATGAATTGAATAAACATAGAATATCAGAAGGCAAAGAAGGAGGGATGTTTCAAAATATAATCTATAAAGTGATAACTCATATTGTTCTATTAGCATTATCATTGATCAAACTATCAATTCCTAATTCCTAAGTAAATTTCTTTTATATTTTCTTCTAATTGATTAATTTTAATTCCGATTTTAGAAATTGGATTTGTCAAATTTAGACAAAAAAATCTTCACATCATACCTGAGAGTCAATGAATTCAACCTTATGATTCGCTTGTAATTCTTCTAAATACCCTTGAAAATCTAATGATTCAAATAAAATCTATACCTTAATAATAAAAGCCCTTAAAACTCAAATCATTAAAGAGTTCATAATAAAGTGGAGTTGATTCTAGTATTTTGAAATATAAATTTTCTGAATAATACTCAAATGCTTTAATTTTGAAAAATACTGGAATTCGCAATATGGGATTTATAGATTTGTTTATATTCCTAAAAATTAGATTTCTATATTAGAATATATATATATATTAACTGAAATTAGTGAATCAAGCAACTACTAGCCCAATCATAAAATATTCACTAATTTGTAACAAATAAATCTTAAACTATTTTTTTAGAATAAAGCATTCTATAATTTTTCAAGTAATCAAAAAAATATCATTTTAATCGCTAGGTTTAACAACAATGTTGGCATATGTTAGAGATTTCTCTTTTACACCTTAGAATTGTTTTAATTGTCAAAATGCAATAAAATTCACTTTTATTTAGAATCAAAAGTTTTATATTTAGTTTTTAATAAAGTAATCATATTTTATTCATGTTGAACTCTCATAAAAAAGAAACTCGAATCTACATTTATGAGACAAGAAATTAGATAAGGGGACAAATAATTCATTTCATTTTATAGAATTATAGGAGAGTGTTTGAAAAGTACATTTAAAAACAATTATTATTTTTATTGAAAGAAGGAATAAATGAAGCAATCCCACAGCAATGCATAAGTTCCCTGCATCATGAGTTTTATAATGAATGATTTCCCGACTAATTTATACATATTTTGTATCTTGGGATGACAAAATGCAAGAATTTTTAAAGTAAACTATTTTCTTTTTACTTTTGTCTCCTTTTGGCTTTAAAGGTTTTAGTTAATAGCAAATTCTTTCTATGGAAAGCTCAGCTAGGATAATCTTAATTAAAATTAGACCAACTTGGAATAATATTCTAAGTCATAAGAGTTTATTTCGAGTTTTTTAACTATTGATGTATTCTTACATTTTATTAAAGGCTTCTACACTCTATCACTATTGAAGAAAATTTATCCAATCACAGCGGCTCTAAAAAGTCTTAAGGTATCTTTTAATCGATTTTTTTAGAAACAAGAATTTCCTTTATTACAGGATTTAGTATTTTTTGAGAAAAGAGACACTAGCTATAGTGAAAATAGCAGCAACAACACATCCCGGCTAAGTTTTAGTGCACTGTTAACTAGAGCCCAACTCTCTACAAACAAGGTTTACAATCTCTTGTATGTAATAAATATGAAGGACCTGCAATTTCCAGTTGTATTTTAAATATTACCTAATATTCAGGGGTGCAGCTTAGCTTAAATGTATTATAAGTAAATTGGAAATTAATTTAAGCATTTCGTGCAGCATGCATCATGTTATATGGAATCAATTTGGCATTGATTATATAGGTGGGGTTTAGAGAGCCTAAATCTGGATATGCTTTTCTAAGTAACCTGCAAAATAATTATACAGTTGAACAAAAATTCATCAAAGATTATCTTATCATCTTAAATTTAATGCATTATAATACAAGAGAGTAGTTGCTGGTAACAGTGCATTGTTTGTTGTATTATAAAAAGTATTCATCAAAATTTACGGCTGATATATGTATATAGATTAAAAAATTTGCTCCTCACAAGTTGAACAAATATTTAGCGCAAGAATAAGTTTAGATGATTATATTAAAACCATATCTGATATAGCAAGTAACTTAATCGTTTGGTTAAGTGCTTCTAAATATATTTTTGTTTTTATGCTTGTATTGCTGTCAGTTAAAACAAGACATGGACTACACAATGAGAAAAAAATTTACAAAGTCCTAACTGATGTCTTAGTTGTACATTTAGGATATCCAGTGCAACTTGAGTTTGGATATATGTTTGAGATGCAATAATTTGCATTTGTTTTTAGGAACCAGTTAATAATGGACTAAACATAATATACAACAAGTTTTGAAGATTAAACACAGGAAAATAAATTGTTTTGTAAGTAGCTTGTTTAAAACTATAGAATGAGTTACAGTTGTCATTTATCAATAAATCTCCTCACTATGGAGAGTAAGTGCAAGGTTTGGCTTCAAAGCAAATTTTATAGATGCTAAATAATACTTACAATATTAAAATTTTTTAATTAATAAAGGAATTTTAACAAAAAAGTTTTTACCAAATTGGATGATTATGATTAAAAGTAAGGCTATAGAAGTCATGCTTATATTTCATAATAATTTCACTTCGATTGTCATTTACATTGAATATAGACTCATATATTCGTCATCAAATATACGATTGAAATTTGCCAACATCAAGCATCTACCAATTATGAGGAGATCAAGTTCATCACAAATTAATGAATTAATGATTCTAAGTCGTTCGGCACTGATTTTCTGAATTTATTGTTCTAAATATATTTCAACCGTTACGATGAGAGAGACAGGGCTTACAGTGATGGTTGAGGTTGTTCTCATACTTTATGCTCCTCAAATCCGAAATTTTTTTTATGAGAATTTCAGTTACTTCAATAATATGCAGTTGAAATATTCTCCTTAGACATTCAGAACAAGCTCATCACAAATGGTAAATATCAGGAGTTGAGTCTGATCTAAGATTTTCTGGTTGTGCTACATCTAGAAAGAAGAGTTAATTGCTTATGAGAGTTCTATGAATAAATTACAAATTAAAAACTAACCACTACCAAAAAGAGGTAATTTAAGTGATAGTAGTAGATTGATGATGGCAAAAACTATCTATCATATATGATAAGGTAGTGAGTGGGATATGCTAATTTCTATCTACACCTATAATAATGATTTAATTATTGCTGCCAAGGCTAGTGTTGTTATTCTTGAATTGTGTATATTGAATGAATTCTTCATCTTCTGAAGTGTAATCTAATAAATGGAACACACCAACAAAGCAGATTGGCTTATTTAAAAGATTGTGGCCTCTGTCTAAAGAAATTCACATCTTTATATTGTAAACTTAAGATTCTCATTGACAAAATCATAAATCATAGAATAATCATCTAATTGAGTGACAGCAGTTATGTCAACCTTATCCTTTAAGAATGGAACTATTTGGATGTATTAGGTCTCAATAATTTTCTAATTGGTTTCAATTAGAAGAGATTCGTCAGTTAATTCTTGAAAATATATTTTGTAAATCAATCGTTCATTTTAAGTACTGAAAAATGCTTTATCTGGTGTTGTGCCAGAAAGTAGTTGACATTCTCTGTATGAGTTTATTCAATAAAACTTTGATAAAGATATCTCTGTCTTTGATATTGAAGGAACTTAGAATTTTATTTTATGCTACCATTCATCCATATTTGCAATTTTTAAGTCACACTGATCCTCATCTTCAGGAGGCAAGATTATTTAATCAAAAATTTTTCATCCTAAAATTCATTCTCTTAACTATTCCTTGATGTTTAATACTCCTTCGATATCCAAATATTTGTTTGATATTGTTTATGAATAACTTCTATTTATTTCTCATCCATTTTTTTGATGACTTTGTGAAACCTCAGAAACCACTTGGCTCAATTCAAATTCTATAATTTTTTTTTGCTTCATCCCATGATCCAAATATTCTTAAGTTTGCAATTCATAGTACAAACATATCAAATCATTAGATTTATTATGTGTACTATGAATTGCTCAGGAACACAAATTTATTTCAGCAACTATATTATCATTAATTTATAATTTAATTGTTAAAGAGTTGTAACATTGGTAAACTAAAATTCGTAATTCTATGATTCTCCAATCTCAGTCCTCAGTCATTAATAGTTATAATTCAGTACTTTTACTTACTATATTTCATTCTCAATCTCAGATCAGGTCCAATATATTTATTTTGAAAATCCTTCCAAATATCTTTCAAATCATCTATTAATCAAATTTTTGATTTGCCAATAGTAAACTAACTCTTTATCTTCTTATACACTAAGTATTATGNGATGGTTGAGGTTGTTCTCATACTTTATGCTCCTCAAATCCGAAATTTTTTTTATGAGAATTTCAGTTACTTCAATAATATGCAGTTGAAATATTCTCCTTAGACATTCAGAACAAGCTCATCACAAATGGTAAATATCAGGAGTTGAGTCTGATCTAAGATTTTCTGGTTGTGCTACATCTAGAAAGAAGAGTTAATTGCTTATGAGAGTTCTATGAATAAATTACAAATTAAAAACTAACCACTACCAAAAAGAGGTAATTTAAGTGATAGTAGTAGATTGATGATGGCAAAAACTATCTATCATATATGATAAGGTAGTGAGTGGGATATGCTAATTTCTATCTACACCTATAATAATGATTTAATTATTGCTGCCAAGGCTAGTGTTGTTATTCTTGAATTGTGTATATTGAATGAATTCTTCATCTTCTGAAGTGTAATCTAATAAATGGAACACACCAACAAAGCAGATTGGCTTATTTAAAAGATTGTGGCCTCTGTCTAAAGAAATTCACATCTTTATATTGTAAACTTAAGATTCTCATTGACAAAATCATAAATCATAGAATAATCATCTAATTGAGTGACAGCAGTTATGTCAACCTTATCCTTTAAGAATGGAACTATTTGGATGTATTAGGTCTCAATAATTTTCTAATTGGTTTCAATTAGAAGAGATTCGTCAGTTAATTCTTGAAAATATATTTTGTAAATCAATCGTTCATTTTAAGTACTGAAAAATGCTTTATCTGGTGTTGTGCCAGAAAGTAGTTGACATTCTCTGTATGAGTTTATTCAATAAAACTTTGATAAAGATATCTCTGTCTTTGATATTGAAGGAACTTAGAATTTTATTTTATGCTACCATTCATCCATATTTGCAATTTTTAAGTCACACTGATCCTCATCTTCAGGAGGCAAGATTATTTAATCAAAAATTTTTCATCCTAAAATTCATTCTCTTAACTATTCCTTGATGTTTAATACTCCTTCGATATCCAAATATTTGTTTGATATTGTTTATGAATAACTTCTATTTATTTCTCATCCATTTTTTTGATGACTTTGTGAAACCTCAGAAACCACTTGGCTCAATTCAAATTCTATAATTTTTTTTTGCTTCATCCCATGATCCAAATATTCTTAAGTTTGCAATTCATAGTACAAACATATCAAATCATTAGATTTATTATGTGTACTATGAATTGCTCAGGAACACAAATTTATTTCAGCAACTATATTATCATTAATTTATAATTTAATTGTTAAAGAGTTGTAACATTGGTAAACTAAAATTCGTAATTCTATGATTCTCCAATCTCAGTCCTCAGTCATTAATAGTTATAATTCAGTACTTTTACTTACTATATTTCATTCTCAATCTCAGATCAGGTCCAATATATTTATTTTGAAAATCCTTCCAAATATCTTTCAAATCATCTATTAATCAAATTTTTGATTTGCCAATAGTAAACTAACTCTTTATCTTCTTATACACTAAGTATTATGTATCCAATTCAATAATCTTGCTTTCTTTATGAAAAATGTGAAACTTTGAGTTAATTATGTTTCTTCAGAACATCGATGCCTCTTTTGTTATTTTTATCTCCAGAATTCTCTCTCCCTAGGCCCTTGTTTATTCCTTTACAAGACTAAAGCTATTTTTGATGATAAGTATGTAAGACATGTATATATTAATTAACGAGAGAATTCAGCACATTCGAAATTGTACCTAACTCTGTTTTTGATAGATTTGCCTGCTTATGCTTCAATTTAATTAAAGTGTTAAATGAAACTTTGATTGTCTGCTTTGAATTGTTCGCTTGACTCTATAACAATAATCTAAAACATATAAATTCATCTAGATTCAAATCTAAATCACTAACTGTTGTTCTTCATTATAAATAAATTTATAGTGCTAATATGTATTAAGAGTCTTCTAAAGACCTTGAAATAACAAACATGACAAATTCTAAAAATTTAACAATAGTTTTAATCTAAAGATAATTAATTAATGTGTGGTGACTACGAAAAACTTTAAGTTAATCCAACCCTGATTTGTTATCCCAGTATTAGTGATAAAAACATCATAAATTGAGGCATAAGATAATCTCATATGCTGAAAGATCTACCTTCGAAACTGTAAAATTATGGGAATATCATTTCTAATTCCACATATTGAATTGCAACTAATTGTTTCCAGTCTACTGGTATGATTAAATTGATCATGCAATTTCGTCAATTAAATTTACACTGGATGTTTCAACGCACTATAATCAGTCCAATCAAATTCTATAATATTTCCATTGTATTCAAAATTAAAATTATCCTCTAATCGAGCTATGGTATTATTTTTGATAAACTACTTTTCTTCTACAATCTTTAGGACTTCCTGTTCCCTGATAATGTTAATTTCATCTTAGCATTCTTGTATCCAATTAAATCTTGTCTAAATTTATTGTTTTCTATTTCTAGTTCAAATCAGTCAGAATATTTCTTGCTTCATAAAAACCTGTTTCAACAACTTGATGCCAGATTAATCCTTTGAAATTACTTTGTAATAATAGATTAATGTCAATTTTTACAATAGAACAAGAAGTTCATCACCCTCAATTCCATTCTTGCCCAGAACTTGGATGGTGACTACCTTATCCTTAACTAAATTAATATATTTGATGAGTTACTTGTATTTGAAATGGAAACATCAAAACCTAACAGACTTGGAACTTCAATTCTTTTGTTTGAAATTACCCATCTTCTGCTTTGACATTTACTCCATCTATTGATTATGCATAATAGAATCCGCAATTCTTTATTAGCATTCGTAATTTGATTCAAATGAAAATGAAACACATATTCAAATTAATCAACCGACTTTGCTTTTCAATTCTCTTATTTGTCCTCTCCAATCAACTTGAACTATATGAAACACTTCTATTGATCTTTGCCTAATAACATTATATGCCCTGCAATTAGTTCAATTCTCAAAATACATTTATATCCATCAAATGTCTTATTTTATAATTAATAAATATCTCACTTAAATTCTAATTAATCTTTCAATTATGAATTTTGAGAATATTTGTATCTCTTCAGCAATTCTTCTCATTCTCTCTATAAAACCTAGTCAGGAAAGGCACCAAATATTTCTCAAATATTATTGTAGCCATCAAATTCAGGAGACTTATAGATTTAGGAGTATTCTGGACTCATATTCAAACAAAACCGAAAATATTTTTCTCCAAAAATATCCTACAGGCCATTCTTCTAAGAGAGGAAGATGTAACTATTAAAGATCATTCTATTTCTATTTTTATTCCAGTATTGGAGACAATATCAATGGCTGGTTCATTTGATAATAATGTTTCTAAAAATAATAAATTGATCTTAACTAAATAGTGATCTTATTCTTTTGGACTGAATCTGTAGTCTTAATTACTGGGTTTACTTCTCTTGTTATATCTAATCTGATTTCCAGGTGATTGTTTTTATTTCAACCTCAGACTTCATCTTTTACTAGTAATGTATGAGAAGTTTGTATATCTTTCAGCGTCTAATTTGTTAAACATCGTTTATTTCAACAACTCTTTCAGTTCTAAATCCTACAATATACCTTCTGCTGCAATGAGTATCACAATTTTAAATGGTTCAATGCTTGGAGGCTGAATCTTCATTATCACAGCAGTTCTTTGATCTTATCCAAAATCCTCTCCTTCTATTCCTCTCTAATACTTATAATTTCATTTGAATTTCCTTCAAATAATCAAAATCAATAAATTAATAGAATTTTATTGCAAATTCGAGTACTTTTGATAAAATTTATTTGAAAATCTATAATAGAGATTTAGCTTCGATCATTAAGGACATCTTTTTGTTTGAGGAACTATATCTAACACTCCTTAATATTGTATTTAGGCGCATATTATTCTCGATGTAACTTCAAATACCCTTTCAACTAAATTTAACATTAGATATAAATGTGGATAAATCCTAAGTACTTTTCTCATTGATCTAGAAAAGGGTTGAGTCATTGAGAGAAGATGCATTGAATTTTAATTAATAATAATAAATTATATTTTTTATTTAATTATTATGAATTCTGAAATTCATGATCAAATTAAAAATAAGTTTTTGAAGATGTATATATTCCTGCTGTTCATTTTGGTATTCAACAATTCAATTCAGCATCTCCTTCCAAAAAATATGCTCAGGCTAACTTTTAGGGATTTTTCTGTCTTTAAACCTCACTCTCCTTCCTTTGATCAATTCCCTATTTCTCTAAATTTCATTGCATCCATCCTGGACCCTCCATTCTTTAAAGCACTCGTATCATTTATGATACATTAATTTTATTCATATTTTAGCCCTTGATTGAATCAAACTCAAGAATATCATTTGGTTCTCAGGTTCCTTTATTCCNTTCTAGTTCAAATCAGTCAGAATATTTCTTGCTTCATAAAAACCTGTTTCAACAACTTGATGCCAGATTAATCCTTTGAAATTACTTTGTAATAATAGATTAATGTCAATTTTTACAATAGAACAAGAAGTTCATCACCCTCAATTCCATTCTTGCCCAGAACTTGGATGGTGACTACCTTATCCTTAACTAAATTAATATATTTGATGAGTTACTTGTATTTGAAATGGAAACATCAAAACCTAACAGACTTGGAACTTCAATTCTTTTGTTTGAAATTACCCATCTTCTGCTTTGACATTTACTCCATCTATTGATTATGCATAATAGAATCCGCAATTCTTTATTAGCATTCGTAATTTGATTCAAATGAAAATGAAACACATATTCAAATTAATCAACCGACTTTGCTTTTCAATTCTCTTATTTGTCCTCTCCAATCAACTTGAACTATATGAAACACTTCTATTGATCTTTGCCTAATAACATTATATGCCCTGCAATTAGTTCAATTCTCAAAATACATTTATATCCATCAAATGTCTTATTTTATAATTAATAAATATCTCACTTAAATTCTAATTAATCTTTCAATTATGAATTTTGAGAATATTTGTATCTCTTCAGCAATTCTTCTCATTCTCTCTATAAAACCTAGTCAGGAAAGGCACCAAATATTTCTCAAATATTATTGTAGCCATCAAATTCAGGAGACTTATAGATTTAGGAGTATTCTGGACTCATATTCAAACAAAACCGAAAATATTTTTCTCCAAAAATATCCTACAGGCCATTCTTCTAAGAGAGGAAGATGTAACTATTAAAGATCATTCTATTTCTATTTTTATTCCAGTATTGGAGACAATATCAATGGCTGGTTCATTTGATAATAATGTTTCTAAAAATAATAAATTGATCTTAACTAAATAGTGATCTTATTCTTTTGGACTGAATCTGTAGTCTTAATTACTGGGTTTACTTCTCTTGTTATATCTAATCTGATTTCCAGGTGATTGTTTTTATTTCAACCTCAGACTTCATCTTTTACTAGTAATGTATGAGAAGTTTGTATATCTTTCAGCGTCTAATTTGTTAAACATCGTTTATTTCAACAACTCTTTCAGTTCTAAATCCTACAATATACCTTCTGCTGCAATGAGTATCACAATTTTAAATGGTTCAATGCTTGGAGGCTGAATCTTCATTATCACAGCAGTTCTTTGATCTTATCCAAAATCCTCTCCTTCTATTCCTCTCTAATACTTATAATTTCATTTGAATTTCCTTCAAATAATCAAAATCAATAAATTAATAGAATTTTATTGCAAATTCGAGTACTTTTGATAAAATTTATTTGAAAATCTATAATAGAGATTTAGCTTCGATCATTAAGGACATCTTTTTGTTTGAGGAACTATATCTAACACTCCTTAATATTGTATTTAGGCGCATATTATTCTCGATGTAACTTCAAATACCCTTTCAACTAAATTTAACATTAGATATAAATGTGGATAAATCCTAAGTACTTTTCTCATTGATCTAGAAAAGGGTTGAGTCATTGAGAGAAGATGCATTGAATTTTAATTAATAATAATAAATTATATTTTTTATTTAATTATTATGAATTCTGAAATTCATGATCAAATTAAAAATAAGTTTTTGAAGATGTATATATTCCTGCTGTTCATTTTGGTATTCAACAATTCAATTCAGCATCTCCTTCCAAAAAATATGCTCAGGCTAACTTTTAGGGATTTTTCTGTCTTTAAACCTCACTCTCCTTCCTTTGATCAATTCCCTATTTCTCTAAATTTCATTGCATCCATCCTGGACCCTCCATTCTTTAAAGCACTCGTATCATTTATGATACATTAATTTTATTCATATTTTAGCCCTTGATTGAATCAAACTCAAGAATATCATTTGGTTCTCAGGTTCCTTTATTCCTCATCTTAACATATACTTAAGGAATGCTAAGAATTTAGTTTATTAAGGGATATGCATTCAATAAGAAAAATTGTTTTGTGTATCCAGAACAAAGGTAATAACAATATATGTTAAAGTAATCAGTATTAACTTCAGTGGTTCAAATATATCATTATAAATTATTTTAATAAAGAATTATCTCAAAAGTTCAGTACTAATTTAACGGTATCATTTTGGTCGATTTAGTGATTAAAAACTTCACCATTTACTTTCACTAAGGCCACTCAAAGTTCGATTAAAACTATATAAGAAGCAAATTAATTTTGGTTTAGCAATTATTATTATTATTATTTAACCCTTATTCAGGTAACAACACAAACATAAATCCAATTATTATTTTATTAACTACTTATATGCTCTTCAACTAAACTTTCAATCACCTAATCATTATTTTTTGGCAATTTCGTTCATCCCTTTTTTATATCATAATAAAATTCGTCGTCACTTTTATAATTTAGAAGTTGTGTTTC